TTTTGGGTAAATACAGTAAGTTTAAAATGCCATCATTATGGATATTTCAGGGCCTTCCTTGAATTGTCAGGTTTCATTCTTAGTAAGTCTAACTGTTTAACTTATAAGAGGAATGAGGACCTCTGGTCTGTAGCCCTAACACAGGCTATTAGGCCAGCCCACATAGCCCACAGGGCCTGAAATGAGGTCCTGTCTCAAGGGCTACCTCATCCCACTGTCTGGCAATGCAAGCCATGTTACCACTGGTAGCCCATCTCAATATGCAGGGATCAGGCTGGTCTCAGAATTAGACAGGATAAGAAGCCAGCATGGTCCACACTGTTAGGAACCTATATGGGACTGAGGAAGGGGCCATCTACCATGATGTAGTAGCTAGCACTGGACCAAAATGCAGGTGGTCCTAGTACAAATCTCCAGATAGCCATAATGCTGAGTAGTTGATCATAGGCCAGCTATTCTCACCCTCATGTACTTTACAGGTTTGTTGTAGACTGTTGGAGGAAGGATAAGATATAACTGAAATGCATTCTGAAAGATTCTACTGTGGATCACCATAAAAACTGAGATAGTGAAAAAGCAACTATTTGCCCTGCTCAATCTAATACACACACACAGAGCAAATATTGTGATATGTGTGTTCCTGGACTATATCACTGCAGGTGGCTGTGGTGAGAATTGCATGCTGAAGGCTCAAAGGGGGGGTGGAATCACACACTAAAAATTATAAGGTGGCACTAGAATCCTTCTCTTTAATTTCTGTTTTTTATCTTTTATTATGTGGGAATATCAGTCATACAACTCCTTCATTTATGCTTTGAAGTGGTAAGTCTGTGAAGAAATCATCTTTTATGCTGGTTCTGTAAACTAGACCAATGATGTGTACACACACAACCCTTTGTATCAAGAAGCAGTTTTGGTGCAGGAGAAAAGCCTTGGGAACCTCAGTGAACCACAAGGCTACTTGTGGCCTATTGCTAATACTAGAACTCCATATGTTACAGAATGAGGTTGCATGGGTAGCAAATGGGGTTGGATATGCGACATGTGTAACATTACTACTGCGTGAGCTGCACTGGTTGCCGGCATGTTTCCAGGTGCAATTCAAGGTGCTGGTTGTCACCTTTAAAACCCTTCATGGTTTGGGGCCGGGTTACCTAAGAGTCCATCTTCTCCCAATAGTTCCTACCCATCCAATTTGGTCCAGCATGTTGGGAATGTTGCAGGTCCCATCAGCCAAGGAATGTCAGCTGGCAGGGACCAGGAGACGTGCCTTCACTGCTGTAGCCCCTGGCCTCTGGAACAGTTTCCCTTCAGAGATTAGGATGACCCTGACCCTGTTGGTCTTTTGTAAGGCCCTAAAGACCTGGTTACGTACCTGGGCCTGGACCCCCAAATGTGGTAAGGGCCCTGTTTCTTGGCTATACTGATACTTATAGGATAATTTTTCTTGGCTGCCATATATATTTATTTGTGTTGTATTGTACTTGTTTTCATTGTTTTTATGACTGTTCGCCACCCAAAATCACTTGGTTGAGATGGGCTGCTATAGAAGTTAAAATAAATACATACATAAATAAAATAAACTTAGAATATAACCACTAAATGTCAAACTTCCAGTTCAGTAACTCAGCATACAGTATGAATGTCCCCAGATCAACAAACCAGTCCTGCTTTCTCTCAGAGGTGGTAGAGATATGGCCATGGAAAACTTGCAAGTGCTTACATGCAGCAGTCAGTAATTTTTCTTGGCTCACACCATAATAAACACATACACGCCCCTATTCTAACGTGTTATATAAAATTTTAGGGCAGCAGCTATAGTCAGGAATCAGAACAGCACGTCAATTTTACTGGAATATTCAGAAGGCTGTTTCCTACTAGTTCCTTGTTAGAGGAATTTCCATTCTCAAGTTTGTAGCAATGAAGATCAAAAAGCATAAACCAAAGACTTACAAGAATAGTTTAACAAATAAATCTATTTGCAAATGAAGAATCTTTTAAATTTAAATACAAAACTCATAGTAGAGGAATTACCACTGGAAAAGCCTATTACATGCACTTTTAAAGGTGAGCTGACTTCTATTACAGAGAAGAACCCCGGTTTGTCAGTGACTGTCACCTTATCAGTGTGAATCCAGGGCCAGTTCTACCAACTAGTAGGCTGGGGAAGCTGCTTAGTAAGTAGAAGTTGAGAAACAAAGAGCAGCAGCGGCCATGAGTTTTGGGTACCACATTATCTGCCCTCTCATTTTCACAAGTCCACTAACCATACACTTAATTTGAAAGATAGTAACACTACAGCAGGGCACCTAATGTCAATGGCAGAGAACATGTTTAGACATGCAATTCAAGGCTCAGTCCCTGATGAAAGTTTTTTTTAAAAAAAAAACAACTGAGAAAGCCCTCAGCCTAATATTAAGATAGATTGTATTTTCAAGGGTAGCCAGTACTAAACCAGGGGAGCCACTGATCTGGCATCTGTAATATATGGTTTTTCAAACTTGGTGAAAAGACAAGCTAGTTAGATTCTGCAATAAACAGCTTTTTGCTTTGCGCCAGACCACAAGATCTTTTCTCATACAGACCATTCCAAAACAAATAGGGGCCAGAGCAACCACAGGAAACATTCACACTGAACTATGCCAGTTCTACCATAGGATGGAGTCCCCCCAACCAAATAAGGTGGAAGCACCCTGAAGTTTTCCCATAACTCTGACTGCCACACCTTGGAAAGAAGTATATAGAGCAACCAATCCTTTAAAATTGTCTCAATCGCACTGTCTTTGTTCTTACAGCCTTTTTGCCTAATCCCTATGCATCAGCTAAGAAAAAAAATCACTCAATACATTGCATATTTCATGAAGTCAGGATGGGGTGTGGAAAATGGGGGGGGGGGGAAACAGTTCCAGGGCTTAGTTCTTGCTTCAGTGATTCCTGTCTGAATATTAAGCCTTAAAGAATGGATGTCATCCAAGGAGACTTGGCAAAATGCAGAGTAGCCCAGCAGCTCACATCAGACCTTCCAGAGGGAAGTTGGAAAGGAAAACTGACCTCTGAAATTCAGAGAAGCAGGAGAGTTTAAAATAAAACAGTTGAGCTTAGCTTCCATGCCGTAATGACAGATCACTCACTTTTGGCTTGACTGCAAGATGCACTCAAGTTTACCATCAGATACCACCTGTTTTACCCACCCTCTTGCCTAACCAGTGATACACAAGGCTTACCTGTTTTCAAAATTCCTCTTCAATGAAGAGGCTTCAAAATGTTAAGATGTAAAGAGGGTAGAGCGCACCCTGCATATAGCGCATAAACCTTTTGGAAGGCAGGAAGCCATGTTTTAAATGCAGGAAACTGGAACTCTCCAGAGTGGACCTTTCCATAGTCAAAATCTCTGAGTCTGAAATAACTCCACTATGATCTATGGCAACTCCTCAGAGATAGTAACATTCACACTATTTTACTTTTGGTGACAAAAAAGTACAGGCAATGCAAAGGGATGATAGATGAATTCCTTCTCTACAACCATTTTGGAGCAGAGAAGAGATGACACTTTGCAAGAACTATTTCAGTATAATATCCATAGCAGACATACTGTTTCTTCTCCAATCCTTCAGGCTAAGGTTCCTCATGTCTCAGTAGAGGAAACAGGCACTTCCTTAAACCCATGTTCTTGCCTCTCCCCACTAAATGATTCTTCTCCCCATCACCACATTCCACCCCTCCATCCCCTTAAAAAAGTATCATTGTTTCTAGTGTACAATCTAACAGCTACCTTATTATCTCTGATATATGCAGTAGCATAAGCCAAGGGCACAATGCAGCCCCTCCTTCAATTTGGGGGAAGGAAGAAGACAGAGGCTATTGATTTTGCAGATGGACTTCACAGTCCAGGTTCCAGTGTAATCCAAGTCTTTAGGGTCGCCAGCTTCACTGTCATCTCTTAGCTAGATTGTTATGACAATCAACAAAACATTAATACTTGGCTCTCCTTGTTATTACTCTATCCCCAAATGTATTTTGTGATGGAGCTTTAATCTCCATTTTACAGCTTCCTTGCCAGTGAAGAGGTGTGATCTACTTGAGGTACCAGCTTCAGGCCTAGGCAATGCCAGCAAAACAGGCTCCAAATCTCAATGAGAGCCGGATTGAAAACAGAAGCAGCAATATCCTAAGTAAAGGTTTATTTACAGGGAACAAGGAACAGGAAAGACAGTTAAATTTGGGTATCTGCTTCCACTTCTTGGCACAGATAAGAATGTACAGTAAACCTAGAAAGTACAAGGTTTTTTTTAAAAAAAAAAAAACAGGATGATGGTCAACACAGGTTAAGGCTGTAATCCTTTACACTATTACCTGGCAGAAAGCCCTGTTGAACTCAATGGGACTTGCTTCTGAGTAAACATTCACTGGAATGCACTATTTTACTCTCATTGTGTTCTAAAGCTACCACTGGCAGTGGGGAAGGGAGGAGAAATTCCAATGATCTCTCCATTCGACATTGAGAACAAATTTTATTAAGAAAAATGTATCTCATTAAGCAGATACCCATTTTATAGCCTGGTCTCTTTGCCACCGGTCCCCTCTCTCAAAACAACCCAAACTCCAATTATCACACAATCATTTGCTCTTGGAAAGAAATTTGTATAAGCCTCAACATTTCTTTGGCAGGAGCAGGAAACAAAAATGCAGACGAATGAATGTAAAATATGCAACACCTTCTTGCATACATTCGAGGTGCTTTATATTTTGGGAGACGATTTTTTTTTAAATGCAGCCTTCTTTCCAAAGCGCAAAGCATATGTGGAATTCCTGGAGCGACAGTCCCCCTTCCTTATCCCAGTTTTTTTTTAAGGAAAAGCTGTTGTACTAAGGGGGGTGGGAGGCCAAGGGAGGCTCACTCTTTTAAAAGGTAAGATAACAGGCAGACCACGCAACAAGTAAAACTAACCAGAATAAGGTAAAAAGCATGCTACAGAAGGGGGAAAAAAGATTCAACTCACCTTCAAGGGTAAAAACAGGGGCGATCCCTATTAGCATGTGCAAAATTCCTAGTAAAAGCAGCCACAGCCCCACTTCTACTCTGTGGGGCAGCATGTTTGTGCAAAAATATTTAAAAAAATAAAACCAGGTTGCCAGATAGTCCACGCAAGACGTACAGTTGCAGCGGCTATTTCTTCTTCGTAGCTGCTCACCGTCCCCACCTCTTCTTCACTCTCTCCTTCCAAGAGTCTTCAATTCTTTCACCATCCACTGAGGGAGAAATGGGAGGGGGGCGACGGCAAGGAAAAGCCCCTCTCCCTCCTCCTCTCTCCCTCCCAGCCCAGGAGATGAGAAAACCCAGCGGCGGCAAAGGCTGGGGAGGGGAGAGGAGGGGGTTCAGCCCTTCTAAGCGAGAAAGAAAGATTGCATGCAGGAAAAAAAAGGGGGGGTGATCAGCAGCAGTTCACTTCTTCCGCACTAGGTTAAAAACAAGCCAAGGTAATCGCAGTGGGCATCAAAGGTTCCAAGAATGATGCATAGGGAAGAAGGGAGCCGGGGGAGGGGGGCGCCGACAGAAGGGAAAGGAGAAAATAAAAAGGGGGTACTTCTGGACCCCGAGAGAGATGGAGACAGCAGCTCCTCCTCCTTCCCAGCCTCTCCGAGTGATGGAGAGGGGAGGGCGCACGGGTCGATGCCGTCTGCACCCCGGGAACGCTTTATGCACGACGCGCTCCTACGCCTCCCGCCACCACTGCCGGACGAAGGAAAAGCAACCCCCGCCTGCCGCACCAAGTAGCCTCAGCCGCCTGATGGAGCTCGCGCCGCCTTCTGCCTGCCTGACGTCATAGGCTCCCAGGGAAAGGCAGGGGAGGGCGCTGCAAATGGGGGCTACGCGGCAGTGGGCTTAGGGCGCATGCGCTTCCTGATTCCCTGTTGCTGAATGGGGGGAAGTGGCAGGTCGTATTTTAAAACCCTCGAAGAAGGATTCATCACAATAGGGGTGGGGGCGCGGAAATGGGACGCACGTGGATGCAGCCTATACCCAGTGCAAGATAACTACAACCAGTGTAAGCTGGTTCTTCTGTCTACCCAAAAAGCCCCCCCTACCCAAACTAACTCTGCCCTTTTCCCTGGCAAAAATGTCACAGGGCGGCGCGCGCCCTCTTCGTTTTTCGAAATGTTGTAGCGTGGTGCTTTTTCCTCATTGCGACCCCCCCCCAACCAAAAGCCACGAAATGCTGAGCAGCGTCCTAATGACAAGGACAGCCCCCTTCCTCTGGCACAAAGG